GGCAGCATTGTTGCACCTACACGTTTCTTGCAAATTTACACACTACCTTATGTGTTGCATACCTATACACCTACAGACGTGTAAAAAGTGACTACATGGATTACATACGTAAAACGTGTTAAAATAACACACTTATTTTTAGAGTGTACTAAAAATGAAGTTGTAGTCGCGGAAATAGAATATATAAAAGTACAAAAAATGAAAAAATATGAAAAATTTCGAGGTTAATTTTATAAAACTAACGATTGGTTAACCAACGTTGAAAGTAATCACTATTTCAGCTCTCTCATTTGCAAAGAAAGTGTTTAAAGAAAATAAAGATATTTTTCCTTTAATAAAAGTTCAAAATAGTGAAAAAAGGCAAAAGTAATAAAGTTATTTAAAACTTGTGAAATAAATAAACAAAAATAGAAAGATATCTGCAGGCAGGCTTCTTTGCAATTTAAGTATGCCCGATTAAGTAAATAATTTAACAATAATTATTTCTCTTTACGCTATTCTCAAATAGTATGTTATTCCTTATCAAACAATTATAAATTGAGAAAATGTTACTTACAATTATGTAATGGCAGTTTCCAGGACATGAATAAATTTTTTATTTGCAATACGAGATAACATTTCACGGCATATTCTCTTCAATCTGTATGATATTCTACTGTGAAGTACAGTCACGGACAAAATTGAGTGAACACTAATTTATTTTATATAAAAATATTGTAATTTAATCAATTTTTCCTAATTAATTTCTTATTTTTTTACTTTATATTATAGTTTGCATTTGTCATCAATAAATTTGGCTAATAGTTTTATAGAATCATGTGATTTATTTTAAATAAAGATTATTAAAAACTAAAATGAAACAAAACAATGTGGACAAAATTAAGTATACACTTTCATATTTTTCATATTTCACGCTTTTTATGTTGCTCTAATATTTTGTATTTCCTCCTTTAGCTTTAATAACCTCTTGTAATCGCCTAGGAATACTATCTACTAAGTGTTCAATTTTATCCTTCGTTATACACTCCCATGATCGTTGTAAGCTATCGAAAAATGCGGCTTTATTCGATCTGTTAGTAATCGGTACTTCTTTGTCAAGTATGGCCCATAAGTTCTCAATGGGGTTCAAGTCCGGACTTTGCGGAGGCCAATCTAAAACTTCTATTCCGGAATCTTTGAAAAATTTTATGGTTTTCTTGGATTTGTGTATGGGAGCGTTGTCTTGTTGGAAGACAAAATCATTAGCAATATCCATTTTTTCTACCGATTCTTCCAAATTTTCATTAATGATGTCGATGTATTGCTCAGCGTTAATGATTCCATTGAGTAACACTAAATTTCCAACTTTGGACCAAGAGAAGCAGCCCCACATCATAACCTCTTCCATATTTTACAGTTTGCGAGATGAATTTTTGTTTGAGTGCTTTATTTGATTTTCTCCAAACTCTGTCTTTTTTCTTGCCAAACAATTCAAATTTACTCTTATCACTCCACACAACTTTTCTCCAGAACGAAACAGGCATATTAATGTATTTTTTGGCAAAGTTTAAACGTTTGCGCTTATTCAAGTCAGTAATGAATGGTTTTCGCAACGGTATGCGACTGTGCAAATTTCTGTGCATCTTTCAATCTACAAGACACCGTCTTTTCTAATACGTTTAAATTCAGTCTCTCAATTATTTCACGACGTGTGACAGTTGGTTCTATTCGGCATTCCCTCACAATCCTTTTATCAAGACGTTCTGTAGTACACCGTTTACGACCACGACCTTTTAAATTAGTCACAATGTTAAGTTTTATGTACTTGGTCCAAATTTTTGCGACAGCACTTTTTGAAATACGGTATTTCTTAGCAATGTTTCTATAACTGAGACCTTCTCGACAATCGCAAATGATTAATTTTCGGATTTGTAACGAAATTTCTTTCCGGTTTTCCATTTTCAAATTAAATAAAGAATTTTTGAAAATACGTTGATGTCAGTGGAACGAGATATCAGTACTAATCGAAATTCAAACCATTCCAGATTATAGAATGTAAACAATAAATATAAAATGAGTAAAGGTGATTTATAGCAATGTAATGGCAGATTCCAAGTCATGCAATAAATTTTTATCTTTTACAGTGTGAAGTAAAACGTTTCGCGGCATATCAAGAGACACGGCAGTGTCTCGCGCCAAGTTCACACGTAGCGCAAGACCGACCGTGTATCTTTACGCGAGATCAAGAGACACGGTAGTGTCTCGCGCCAAGTTCACGCGTAGCGCAAGACCGACCGTGTATCTTTACGCGAGACGGAAGATTCAGATGAGCCGAGATTATCGGATCTCAATAACGGCTGGGCCGATTGAGTTGGTAATATGCTCAATCGAAAGCGCATACCTAAGATATATAAGTATGCTTGTTTTTGCTCTGTGTGCTTTATAAATTAAAATATATGCATCCAAAGTCGAGAAATCTAAAAAATCATCATTTTTTTCGGATGTCACGCTAAAATGTCACGCATGTCTTATTGGTCAGCGTCGTCAGCACGCAACCAATCAGAACGCACTCAACTAATGCGTTCAGATTTCTTTTTCTAAAAGACGTCTTTCCTTTTCTAATTTCTAATATGGCGGCGCACAGACCTGTCAGCTCGCAGCTTTGATGATATTAATTAACATTGATATAATATCGATCGTAAAATGTATATATATATAACGTGTTGTGGAGACAAATAAAGATAGTGTATATCAAAATAATAGTATTCTTTATGAAAAAAATTTTTTTCGATCTTAAAGTGCAGAAGTGTAGCAAGACATGCTGACAACACTCTCAGTATTCTGTAATTAGTGGACAAACAGAACAGAAAGTGTACTTTGTGCACATGGTATATATTACAAAAAAATGAAATTATATCTATCAAAAAATTACCTTTTTTAAAAAAAGATAAAAAAAAAGGTGCCAAGTACACGCTCTTGTCACAACTAAAACAAAACCGTATTGTTTTATCTTTCAAAAAAATTGTCGTATATATTAAACCTTTCAAAAAAACCTGTCATATACAGGGTGTTGCATATACATATTGGGCAGTACGACGGGTTGCGCGGCATACTTTGCAGGGATAGGCGCAGTTCAATGGGTAATGACAGCATATATACGTACCATCATAACTAATTGATCAAATTGATTGCGCGCATTTTTACTAATTTTGAGTTTACAGCGTTTCAATTATAACGGACTTGAATAATCGTTGCGATTATTACTAGAGAAGCTAAAACACATTAAAGATAAAAAATTAAATTTTAGAAAGTTAACACGTTAAAAGAAACAAATATGATACAACAAAATTTCTTTCTTTACGATCACGTCAATTCACAGCTGA